CGGCTGTGCTGAGGGCCCGGGCCTTGGGTGTTCCAGGTGCCCGTGACGTTCGCGGACGTGGCTGTGCACTTCACGGAGACGGAGTGGGCCCTTCTGGGCGAGGGGCAGCGGGAGCTCTACCGAGACACCATGCTGGAGAACTACGGGAACGTGGCCTCTCTGGGTAAGGAACGTGCTTCCCCACGGGCTTCCTTCCTTGGGCAAAGTCCCTGGAGTGCGGGACCCGTTGAACTCAGATTCCCTTTCCTGGGGTCTGACTTGCCTCTGGTTTCAGCCTCCTGACCGTGGGGTGGGGGTCCCTGCACTCCTGGCTTCTGTCTCTGCACGGAGTGTATGAGCGTCCCCTCTGCACGCTGCGGTTCTAGCGGGGCTCCTCGCTCTGGCTGACCCCTCCCGTCCGGTTGCCGTGCAGACAGGCTGTCTCTGGAGTCCATCGTCCAAGCGGTTCCCCTCACCCCAAGTGAATTACTCCTGCCCCCGGACAGCGCTTGGCATTAGACCCTGGCACTGGAGAGGGAGGGTCTATTGGCATTTCGCAGAGGGGCTGGGGTCTTACCAAGGGCAAACCAACTCCCCAGCGGCTTCCGGGCTGTTTCTGTGCGGCTCCCGCGTCCCGCTCAGCCAGGGAGCAGTGGCGGGGCTGAAATAACGTCGGGCTGCCCCGTAACCTGTCCACTTCCCCCCGAGCAGGGATTCCCACTCACAAGCCCGACTTCATCTCCCGCCTGGAGCGACGGGAGGAGCCCTGGGTCCCCGCTGCCCAGGGCCCGGAGGAGCTGCAGACCCTGAGAGGTGCCTACGCAGGTGAGGGACGGGGGTGCCGCCGGCGAGGGAAAGGGAAGCGCGGGGAGGGCGGGAAAGAACCCCCGGGTCGGCCCCCGCTGCCAGGTTTCAGCCAGAGACGGGCCGAGTTGGGCTCTGAGCAGCCCCTTTGGAGCCACCCGCCGAGGCCCTTAAAAAGGCGAAAGTGTCGAGTCCTGAGGCCCGAATGCGCAATCAGCCAGGCCCCCGGAGAATCCCAGAGGGGCTCTTAGAGATCCAACGAGATCAGCTGGTGAGAGAGTTATCCCTGCAGCCCCCCTCCCCACTTTCTCACCTCCCCTTCCCCCGCGCTCCTCGCCCATCTCCCCTTGGCAGAGGGGCATTGTGCACTCGGCTCGGGTCAGTGCCCTGGGCACTGTGGTTATCGGGGACGCTCCGGTGTGCGGTTCCTAGTCCCCAGGTTCCCTGTCTCCCACCCCAGGTGTGTCCCAGATGACGACGGAATTGTGTCTCCAGCTGGGAGTCCCACCTGGAGGGAGCACGAAGCCGCGGGCACCCCCTGGAGCTGCGCAGAGAGGAAGCCTGTTCGTGCACTGGCTGGGGGGCACGTCGCAGCGGATGTCACGTCAGAGGCACCCCGCCGGATAGAAACCAGCAGGGCTGTGGCATCACAGGGCATTCGAGGCAGGTGGTCAGCCGTAAACGGAAACAGCCCATTCCTGGAAGGATTCATTGCTTAGGAATCATGCAACGGGAGGCATTGGTGGGAATCGGAAGGAAAGGATTCCTGACTCCACCACCGGCCTGCTGGGCACCTTGGGCAAATCCCTGCCATGCCCTGCCTCAGTTTCCCCAGCAGGAAAATGGCGATAACGTTACCGACCTTTGTAAAACACGTCTGAAGCCTAGTGATGAAAAGTGCTTGATGAGAGCTGGGTCTTATTTCATTTCATGATTAAGGAGCAGCATGTAGGGCTATTGATCATTGCATGGGGCAAGTGATCAGGGCTTGATTACATTTGTCATGCACCAACAGAATAATGTCCAAACGCGTATCGTTATCTCCACGCTTGGCGCTTCAAAGGGGCCAGCTCAGCAAAGTGGAAACCAGTTTTGAGCCAAGTGAGCTGGGAGAAAGGATTTAATCAGGGAATTGGGAATGGTTCTTTGGATAAGAACGTTGTACGAGAGGCCCAAAACCCCACATTCCCCGAGCAAGAAAGAAGGCTATCACAAGTGCAAGAGAAAAACAACAACTTGGTTAGAGGGGAAGCGAAAGCAGCTATTAAAAAAACCCCTTAATAGCTAACATCTGGGGGAAATAAGAATTAGATGCTAAGAATTGTAGAAAATAGCTAAAGGAAGCAAAAGGACGCAAGGAGATTATCTACGACCAGCAAAGTTAAGGACAATAAAGAACACATTTTAGGAGTATTCAGAACAAAAGGAAGTCGAATGATGGTATTTATCCATTGTGAGGTGGAAATGGGAGAGCTGAGACTAATCACCTAGAAGAGGCAGAAGTGTTCAATAAACATTTCTGTTCTACATGTGGGGAACAGCCAGATAATGTAGCCATGTTTTATGATGACAAGAAATACTGCTTGTTCCAGCAGTGACTAAGGAGGATGTGAACTGCAGCTACTTTTAAAGCAGCAGCTCCAGATAGCTTGCATCCAAGAGTTTTAAAAGAGCTGGCCAAGGAGCCAGCTTGCCCATTAATTCTGATATTTGATGAGTCTTACTAATGGGGGATGTTCCAGAGGCCTAATGTTGTGCCAGCATTTTAAAAGGTTGATGGGATGAGCTAGGGGACTACCAGACTGACATTGGCATAGGTGTATAGAAACCAGAGCACCTCAAACGAAATAAATAAAGATATACCTATCTTGTAGATGACCTTGAGGGGTCATTGAGTCTACTCCCCCACCCTCACGGCAGGACCAAGTACCATCCCTGACAAATTTGCCCCAGATCCCTAAATGCTCCCCCAAGAATTGAACTCACAACCTTGGGTTTTGCAGGCTAACCCTCCCCCCACTTGAGACTGTTTTTGGACCGGGCTACCCATTTGGCGGATGACGGGTGTAGCGCCGCTATAGAAGCCTTCGAGCTGTGTGAGGCATTAGACTTGCGAACGCCCAACGCTTTGATGAAGGAATTAGAACGGCCTGAAACAGGGCGGCACCCATTCTGTGGATTAAAATTTCGCCGACAAGCCTCCAAACGTAGCTCTAGGTGGAATCGTCGGTGCTAGATTCTGTTTCCAGGGGGAGAGGTTCTGTAGGGATCGGTCCACGTCCCTATGCCGTTTGACATTCTTATCAGGGCTTGGAAGGTGGTGAGAAATCCTCCCTGGTCGAGTTTTCAGTTGCTGCGCACGTGGGTGGAATGGTAAATAGCGAGGGGGCGAGGCACTGGCAGAGCGCCCTGGATCACTCGGTAAACAGGGCGCAAGCAAACAACATGCGATTTCATGGGGCCAAAGAGGCTTGGTGGCCATCGGGATGCTGTGGCCAAAGGGCTCGTATGAACTTTTGATGTATAAATGGAAACCAGGGTGCTGAGGGCTCCGAGGTCAGACCCAGCCGGCTGCCCTACGGAGAGTGAGCTGGGGAGGGGAGTCATGCTGTCAGGGAGGGGGAGCCCGTCTGGTGTCATTCAGAGCAAATCTGGAGCGCTGACCCGGCCCACGTGACAGAGGGGAGAAGGAAAAGTTTCCAGGGGCGGAGAGAGAGCTGGTTCCGTGGGTGAAACGGCTCCGGTGATCCACCAGCACCTGCAGCCCCATCGAGACGCACCCTTGGAGTTTCTGTGCTCCTTGCCAGCAGGGCCCGGGTTGTGGTTCCATCTGTTGCCCCACTGCTGTTCGGGAACCCCAGCGCAGCAAAGCCCTCCACGCCGGCACCCACGTTCCCCAGAGACACCACCCGCTGCCCGTAGCAGAACGGTGTTGATTGCTTTGGTGACTTGTGTAACAACAGCCCCCACTCCAAATTGATCCCCACCAGTGTCCGGCGTTGCAAGCTTTCCCGGGGCAATTGCCACGTGCTTCTCCCTGGACAGAGCGGGTCTCTTCCGGGTGTCCCTGTCCCCACCAGTGTCCGGCGTTGCAAGCTTTCCCGGGACAATTGCCACGCGCTTCTCCCTGGACAGAGCGGGTCTCCTCCGGGTATCCCTGCGCTTCAGGGCGGGGCAAAGCCATTGGCAAAGTTCCATGAAAGTGGCCTTGTGGCCTTTGCAGCCACTGCTGAGTGTCCCACGACCCACCAGTCTGTGCTCATCTCCCCGCAGCAGAACTGGTGTGCCGCTGTGTTCGTAGCATCGAATGCCGGCGACAGTTCCATTTCACTCAATGCAAGAGCTCGTCCAACCAGCATGGGTGTCGGTCACCGAGACGGACAAGATTCCCCCTCCTGTTCCTGCAGTGCCATGCTAATGCTCTGGAAACACTGCGCCATTCCGCAGACCCACGCAGATATCACAACGGTTTGATGTCGAGCCAGGCTCACACTGCTATGTCGTGTGCATGGGCAACCGGGAGCATTACTCAGAATGCAACAGGGTGCAGGCACTATGGGATAGCTACCCACAGTGTATTGCTTTCAAATGCACGCGCTACTTTGAACAATGACATCTTTCCTGCAGACCGTGGGGACACGGATCTTTCAACGGTTTGATGTCGAGCCAGGCTCACGCGGCTATGTCATGTGCATGGGCAACTGGGAGCATTACCCAGAATGCAACGGGGTGCAGGCACTATGGGATAGCTACCCACAGTGTATTGCTTTCAAATGCACGCGCTACTTTGAATGACGAATTCTTTCCTGCAGACCGTGGGAACATGGACCTTCGACTTTGCAAAATCGGGTGAGCAGAAACCGACCATAATAGTTTCGACCTCGTCGCGTGGTGTGGATGTGGCTTCAGCATAGTCAGTCTTAGCTTAGATCTGTGTCCGTGCTGCCTTAAAAAAGGAAACGTTTCACGGAATCATAGAGTGAGAAGAACGACTGTTCAAAATCGTTTTTTGAATTTTGCGTCAGGATCCCATTTTGCATCGGAGAGACTTTGCGTGTCTGTTTGCAACAGCTCCCGTCATCCATCGGTACGTGTAGCAGCAGTGTTGCAACTAAACCCATTTCAGACAACAAAGTATCAGTAGCAAGCAAAAGATTTCATGCACCCAGTAAAACTACCGCCATGGATGGGTTTGGAGTAATGATCGACAAATATCACGGTGAAAAGATCACTCGGTTCATTTATGCCCCAAATTCTCCTTTTCGCAATGTTAACAATAAACACCTTCATTGCTGTTCTCAGTGCATGTCAGACATTGGTGGAAGGTTGCTAATGTATGAGAAGGAACTTGAATAGTGTGTGAGAAATACGGAGGGGAAATCTGCCAGTTGAAGCTAGGGATGTTGAAAACTAGTTGACTATCCGATAAGCAAATGCTTATTGGATAGTGAGTCGACTAGTCTATTCCCCCCCCCCCCTTGCTGCCTCTGTCAGATAGAGGCAGCAAAGTGGAGGGAAGAAGGGGTACTTCAAAGGGGCAGCGCTGCACGGCTGAGCCCAGGATCAGTACGCCTCGAGCCCAGGGTCAGCTGGGGACTCCCCAGCTGATCCCAGGCTCCAACGCGGCAGTTCCGCGGAACCCACGGTCAGCTGGGGAATCTGCAGCTGATCCCAGATTCCGCTGAAATGCCGCACGGAGTCCAGGATCAGCTGGGGGAGTCCCCGGCTCCCTGTGGCATTTCAAATCGGCAGCACAGCATGGAGTCAGGCCCGGGCTCCATGCTGCGCTGCCACTTCCAAATGCACAAGAGCCCCTGCTGGGGACTCTTGTACATTTCAAAGCTGGCACCCGTGTCCAGCCCGGAGTCAGTGGGACTTTCCACTGGCCCCGGGCTGCACGTGGAGTTCCACGTTCCTCCTTGGAAATGTACAAGAGCCCCAGTGGGGGCTCTTGTACATTTCCAAGGAGGAATGCGAAAGTGCCTATCAAGTAATCGATGGAAACTCCATCGACTACTCGACTAGTCAATTAACCGCAATTTAACATCCTTAGTTGAAGCCATGATGGGAGGAGCAATGAACACAATGGTCCAGTAGGATGTGCTGGGGGTGACAACAGAAGATGGGGCTGCGTCTCTTTCAGAAACAATAGCGATGTTGGGAAGTACCCGCACGACGGAATGTTAAAAGGAAACGGCAGTGAACATTGTACTAAGCTGTCGGCAAAAATTCAGCTGCATCGCAGACAGTGCTGGAAAGACGAAAAGATGCTTGGAAGATGAAATGGAAAGGTGCTTCCTAATAACATAGGGTATGTCTACACTTGCACCCTAGTTCACACTAGGGATGCAAATGTAGGCATCCGAAATAGTCAATGAAGAGGGGAGTTAAATATCCTGCGCTTCATTAGCATGATCTCGCCAGCGAGGTATTCCAATCAACAGCTGTTTCAAAAGTGAAAGGACGCACTGGGACACGTTAGTTTGAACCAAAAAATAAGGAATAACGTTAGTTTGAACCAAGGGGTTTGGTTTGAACTAATGTGTCCCGGTGCGCACTTTCACTTTCGAAACAGCTGTTGATTGGAGTAACGCGCCGGCGAGATCATGCTAATGAAGCGTGAGATATTTAAATCCCTGCTTTGTTGACTATTTCGAATGCCTATATTTGCATCCCTAGTTCAAACTAGGGTGCAAGTGTAGACATACCCATACGGTGTCCCCATGTGCCGCATCTTTTAGCCAAAGACTTTAGTATGTCTTCTCCAGGGATCAACGCCAATGTTGAAGTCACAAAATACTGCAGTCACCACAAAGAAAGCAGGAGGGTCCCTGGAAATGCCCAATGGAATTCTGTGGTGGATTTGCTTTGAACAGGGCTAGTCTCCTGAAAAGTTGTGAAGAAAACCGTGCTCAAATAGGATTGCATGCGAAGGATTTAACACTGGATGAAAGAGGAACGCAGAAGCCATGTGCATTATATCCGGAGCCCTTAAACGAACTGCTGAGAAATTGCTGATGCTGTCAAAATTTGGAAGGCACGGCAAGAGACGTGGGCGAAAGTTAAACTGCAGGCAATAAAGAAGCGAATGGCTCAAACACAAGTTCCATCTCATTTTCTTGCAAACATTGAAGACCCCAGGTATAATGGTCGACGCCTCACTTTAGACAAAGATGATGCTTCTATGGCGTGAGCCTCTCAAAATCCTTCCTCCCCGATGCCAGTCCTAATAAATGTCAGGGCTGGAGCAAAATCATGTAATCAGTGCATGTTTGCTGCTGATGTTTGGAACAAAGTCACTCCCTTGAATTGGTGGAAGTCATTAGCCAGGCACCTTGAACCACAGTTCCTTTAGTTGCTAAGCCAACTTTTCACAGCAGTAGCTTCCTCTGCAGGCACCGAGAGAATATTGTCACCGCTCGGAAATCGACTGGGAGCTGAAAAAGCAGGAAAACTGATATTTCTGTTCCAGCCTATGAATCAAAATGCCAGTGGGAGTGGGGGAGATGAGAGGTAATGGTCAAAGTTTTAAGAACACCGCACATTTAGCGTTGTGATAACCTGTCTGGCAGAGTTAATAATATTTGGTTAAAAAAAAAGGGCTTAAGGACAGCCGTCAGCCAGCAACTCAGGAAGCTGCTGCAGTTTGCAAATGTGAAGCATTGATGTGACATTTAAGATTTAGCTTCCTCAGATAATGAATATTAGGTACTTTGTCCTAAATGAATAAACATCAAATTATGTAAAACATTATACAATGTTTTAGATGCAGTAGAACGTGGTCCTGAGTTGTAAATTAACCTGTTTTAGTGATCAATTTGTTCATAAGTTGGACCCTATAGAGATACACGCGACCGCGCTGTTCGT